TACTTCTCACTATCTACTTTTAGATTAACGAGAAGCGATCATAATGGTGAACAATATGGATCACGGTTTGCCCAAGTTTTCTCTTCTAGGTTATGATGATTGGAAGATCATGATGGAAGCACATCTCTACGCTCTACATGATTGCATGTGGATGGTGCTTGAGGATGGACCCTTGAAAATCCAAATGGAGAACCCTGAGAGGAATCCAGCTGCTCCAGATGTAGTCCAGTACATTCCAAAGCCCAAGGAAAAATGGGATGATAGAGATTGCAAAAAGCACAATCTGGACAACGTCGCCAAAGCAGCCATCTTCAAGACACTTGATCCCATCACCTTCTCCAAGATTAAGCATCTCAAGACTGCCATGGAGATTTGGCAAGGTCTTGGGAAGCTATGTGAGGGATCAGAGGACCTGAGAAAGCAGAAGATAGAAGTCCTGCTTGAGAAGTTCAAAAGCTTCAAAATGCTTCCCAGAGAATCATTTGATATGTTGGATGAAAGATTCCACAAGATATTGAATGATCTTGCTTCACTTAACCACATTCTTTCTCCCAAAGAAAAGAATGTAAGGTTGCTGAGATCACTCCCAACTGAGTGGTACACCAAAGCCACAGCCATGGAAGAAGGAAGAAACCTGGAGAACTACACTGTTCAAGGTCTCATTGATGAACTCAGAACCTATGAGCACGAGCTGAAGAAGAAGAAGGAAGAACAAGTCACTCCCTTCCCCACGGCATTGATGACAACTCCAAGAATCCCATGAAGTGAAGGGACATGCACAAGAAACTGTGACACACCTTCCTCCAGCCAGCCGTCAAGCTCAAAAATGGAGAACTACGATGAGGAATTTGCCATGATGGTCAAACAATTCCGAAAGTTCAAGAAGTTCTTCAAGAAGGCTGATTCAATCAGAAGGCCATCCAAGGGAAAGCCACAGGTAAGTGACTCCCCTCCTGAATCTTATTTATGCTATAACTGCAGGAAGCCTGGCCACTGGAAGTCAGCATGCCCGTACCCAAAGGTGGAGAAGTACGGAGAAAGAGAAAGGAACGAGAAGAAAAAGAAAGCAATGGTTGCTGCTGAAAGTGACGAGTCATTCAGCTCAAGCTCGGATGAAGAAGCCCTCGTCTGCATGGAGCGCAGTGTTGAGAAGTCCAACCATGAGTATAGGTGGACTATGTCAGAAGATGACACTCTCTGCCTAATGGCCAAAGATGATGCTGATCAAGAGGTAACCTCACAAACCTCATGCTCATCTTCTTATAGCATACCAACTTCTGAAAATCTTTTTGACCAGTTCAAAAAGATGATGGAAGATTTTGAGGAGATAAATCTCAAACACTCATCCTTAACAGAAGAGAACAAACTACTGAGTGAAGAGAATCTCAAGTTGATTGAAAGTCGGAAAAGTCAACTGAATGAGATCACTCAACTCAGGACTGAAAATGAATCTCTCTCTGAAAAGGTAAAATCCCTTAACAAAGAGCTAGGGATACTTAAGTCCAAAGAAGCAGTGAACAAGCTTCTTGAAACGACCAAACATAAGGGTCGCGAAGGACTTGGGTTTGACCCCTCTAGTTCCAAAAGGAAAGGGAAAACAACTTTCATCCCTCCTAAACCTACTGCCAAACCAAATAAGCAGAAAGGGAAGGAAAAGGAGAAACCAACAGAAGTTCCCAAAAAGGTAGTCCCTCCTAAGAACTATAGGAAGCTGGACAGACCTCAAAAAGGAAACAATTTCAGAAGTAAACCTTCTAACCCCCAATATACACGAGGCTATACTCATTATGGGGTAGATAGGAGTTTTCCGAGAAATTATGAGTGGAGAACTATGCCAAGATATAGTCATCCTCCACCTTAGAAACTATTTGTGCCACCTAAGTATGCTTATAACCGACACAGGTCACACTATGCACAACCTAGACAAAACTATAGGTCTTATCAACCTAGGTTTGCTAGGAGGAAACAGGAAATTGCACCTCCTGCACGTAGACCTACAACTATGATTACAATCCCAACAAGTTTAGAGCTGCAAGGAAAATTCCCTGCAACTTTAAACTTGATGTACGGACACACACCATTAACTTTTCCGGACCCAAACTGAATTGGGTACCAAAATATTCCTCCTCCTAATGCAGGAAGCCGCTAAGTACCCAGGTGTCTGGTACTTAGACAGTGGCTGTTCAAGACACATGACGGGTGATGCGAGCCTTTTGAGCAATATAATTCCCTATGATGGTCCAAGAATTACTTTTGGAGGAAGCAACGATTTTGGCCTTACTAAAGGACTAGGAAATCTTGTGTACAAGGGACTAACCATCCAAGCTGTATCTTATGTTGAAGGACTCAATTACAACCTTCTTAGCATAAGTCAGTTTTGTGATAAAGGTTACTCCTTGGAATTCTGCAAGGACATGGCATCTCTCAAGAACATCTCCACAAATGAAATCATTCTCACTAGGAAGAGAATCAGAAACATCTATGAAGTGATATGGAACGATGTCAAGGAAGCATGTCTAATCAGCAAAGGTGACACTAACCTTCTATGACTTTGGCATAAGAGGTTGAGTCATCAACTTCAAAACTCTCAACAAGCTATCCAAAGAAGGGTTAGTAGAAGGCCTTCCCAAAGCTGTATTCAGGAAGGAAAGCATTTGTGATGCTTGCCATAAAGGAAAGCAAGTCAAATCTACTTTCAAGGCAAAACCGGCACCCTCAACTACAAGGATATTAAGTCTTATTCACATGGACTTATTTGGCCCTGTTACACCAATAAGTCTAAGTGGAAAGAAATATGTCCTGGTGGTAGTTGATTATTACTCAAGATACACGTGGATAATCTTCCTCAACAGCAAGAAGGAGACTCAAGGGAAACTCACCAACTGCATGAAGCTGATTCAAAACCAAGCAAGTCACACCATTCAGAAGATCAGATCTGACAAAGGCACAGAATTCTTGAATGAAATCATCATTCATTATTGTGAAGAAAACGGAATTCTTCATCAGACATCCGCAGCAAGGACGCCTCAAAAGAATGGTGTAGCGGAAAGAAGGAACAGAACCCTGAAGGAAGCAGTGAGAACAATGCTAGCAGAAGCTTCGTTACCAAAGAGGTTCTGGGCTGAAGCTGTTAACACGGCTTGCTATACTCAAAATAGGAGTATGATTTATAAAAGGCACAACAAAACTCCCTATGAACTATGGAACGGGAGGAAGCCTAATATATCATATTTCCATATTTTTGGGAGCAAGTGCTTTGTGTTAAACAACGGGAAGAATCATCTGAACACTTTTGATGAGAAATCAGATGAGGCCATCTTCCTTAGATACTCTACGGTGAGCAAGGCATTCAGAGTTTTCAACAAAAGAACCATGATCACTGAAGAGTCAATACATGTTATTTTTGATCAAAAACATGTGGTTGACAAGCCATCAAAGCATGATCATGAGGTTTTGGATCTATGTGACAAGGATGAAGAAGTCAATGATGGAGATAGAATGAAGCCTACGGAGTTCATTCCATTCAGAAGTCTACCACTGAAGACTTCACAGAGAAATCCGGATTCAAACAGTGTTGAGCCTACCGGAAATCTTGGCCAGCCTTTCAATATTCTGGATCACTCAATTGGCGACAATTCCGGAAATGGCGACCCAGTGCCAATCCATCTGGAAACACCAACTTTTGTTCTTCAACCACAAGCTGAACTAGGTCAACTAGTCAATCCTAATCAGCACAATCTTCGTTGGTTAAGGGATCACCCTCCCCAACAAGTCATTGGAGATATTCAATATGGCGTTCGCACAAGAAGTGCTTCGCAGAATCTAGAAGCTATGCTTGCTTGTTTCATCTCACAAGTGGAACCAAAGAATATTGAAGAAGCTCTAGCTGATTCTGATTGGATCAATGCAATGCAAGAAGAACTCAACCAATTTTCCAGAAATGACGTCTGGAAACTTGTTCCCAGACCTACTCATCAACATGTCATTGGAACAAAGTGGGTCTTCCAGAACAAGATGGATGAAAACGGCGTTGTTATCATAAATAAAGCCCGGTTGGTTGCCAAAGGATATTGTCAAGAAGAAGGTATAGATTTTGATGAAACCTTCGCTCTAGTTGCTAGACTTGAAGCTATAAGGCTGTTTCTAGCCTTTGCTGCTCATAAGGATTTCAAAGTCTATCAAATGGATGTCAAAAGCGCATTTCTCAACAGAAACCTCGAGGAAGAAGTTTATGTGGAACAACCTCCAGGATTTGAGTTACACACTAAGGGAGATCAAGTGTATAGACTCAAAAAGGCGCTGTATGGACTCAAACAAGCTCCTAGAGCTTGGTATGATACATTGTCTCAATTTCTTATAAACAATGGATTTATCAAAGAAATCATTGACAAGACATTGTTCAAACTACAAGACGGAGAAGATCTCCTGTCAGTCCAAATCTATGTGGACGACATCATATTTGGCTCAACTAAGGAAGATCTCTGCACCAAGTTCTCAACCCTCATGCAAGGAAAATTTGAGATGAGCATGATGGGGGAACTCAACTACTTCCTTGGCCTTCAAATAAAACAGAGAAGTGAATGGACTCTCATCAACCAAGCCAAGTACACAAGGGATCTTATCAAGAAATTCAAAGTTGACCAGAAGTCATCCGTTTCTGTCCCCATGAGTACATCCACCAAGCTTGATATGGATGTAGATGGAAAGGATGTAGATCAAACTCTCTACAGAGGAATTGTTGGATCTCTACTCTACCTTACTGCAAGCCGACCAGATATCTCATATGCAGTAGGTGTTTGTGCCAGATTCCAGTCAAAGCCAAAGGAAAGTCATCTGATAGCAGCTAAAAGAATTCTTAGATACCTCAAATGAACTCAGAACATGGGTTTATGGTATGCTAAGAGCAATTCATTTGAATTAGTGGGATACTCAGATTCTGACTTTGCCGGATGCAAAGTCGACCGGAAAAGTACATCAGGTACTTGTCAATTCATTGGTGGAAATCTTGTTTCTTGGTTCAGTAAGAAACAAAACTCCATTTCTACATCAACAGCAGAAGCAGAGTACATTGCTGCTGGTAGTTGTTGTGCTAAAATTTTGTGGCTGAAGCAACAACTACTGGACTATGGAGTCAAGACAAAGGAAGTGACAATCTTTTGTGACAATAATCAAAGTGCTATAGCCATCTCACAAAATCCAGTGCATCATTCTCGCACTAAGCACATTGATGTCAAGCATCACTTCATCAGAGATCATGTGGAAAAGAAAGATATCAAAATTGAGTATATCTCAACTGAAAAACAACTGGCGGATATCTTCACAAAACCACTAAGTGAAGCCAATTTTTCCGATTTGCTTCACAAAATTGGTCTAATTCAATTAGACTGAGTGAGGTACACGTGGTAGTTCATTTTCCATGTCTGTCAAAATGGTGGGTGGGAACGTGGCCTTGGGAACAGTTAAAAACTCAATCGCCACTAGCCGCATAAATCGCCCAAATTAAACCCAATCGTCACTATAATCAGATCTCAACTGCCCACTCAGCCCACTCAAATTTTTCATCGTCTTCTTCGCGAGAACCTTCTGATAAAATTCTCAAGAACCCTAATTTCTTCAGATCTTCTCACTCAAATTTCTGAGAAAATGAAGATTGTTGGCGCTAATATCCATTTCCAGAAGTTGGAAGCCAAGTGCTCCTCACCAATGTTCTATCAATCCTATCTGGAGATGATTGCTGCTCAAGAGCTCTCTGAATTCCTTCATATGGAGATTCGATTCAAGTATGAGAACGAAGTTCTTGAATTCTACAAGAATGGAAAGGTCAAGACTGTCAAATCGAAGAAGGACCCACAAAGGACGATTCAAGTCATCAAATCCACTATTGAAGGGACAAAAGTGAAGCTTTCCCAAAAGAAATTGGGAGAAAACCTTAACCTTCCCAATTCTGGAGTTGAAATTGGGAGACTTCCAGCCAAGAATCTGGATTGGAACGTTATTGGAATTTCTAGGCAAGCTCCCTCTGGCCCAGCGAAGAAAACTAATCTGAACAACGACTACAAGCTAGTCCTTGAACTGGTCATCGCATGTCTCGAATGTGGAAGTGGAGGACATGCTCATGACATCACCCAAGAGAGGGCCTTCATCATCAATGCCCTCATTACCAAGTCTAAGGTAAATTGGGCTGCTCATTTCTTCAATTCCATCTCAAAGCATCTGGGAAAACCCAACCAGAAATACCTCTGTCAAGGTCTGTACATTGGACATATCCTGGAGTCCTTGGGTGCTGCTTCTGAAGGAAAGAAGTATGAAGCCAGATATTGGCTATACTATCTGTCTTCCAAAGGGGAAAACAGAGCTGGTGCTAGCACAACTGCAGAGGAAAGCTCTTCAGACAATGTCCTTATCATGAGTCTGAACAAGTCAGTAAAGAGGAAGCAAGTGGTGTCTCCCTCTCCCAGTGTTGAAGCACCACAGAGTCTTGCTCCGATCAATCTTGAAGAAGAAGAAGAATTCTCTGACCAAGAAGAGCTACAAAGGAAAAAGAAGAGGAAAATCACCTCTCCCTCAACATCTGGATATGTCAATCCAGATGAGTTGAAGGAGAAGGAAACAACTGAGGAAACCTCAGCCCACAACCGGAGTCCTCAACAACTTGAATAACAAATTCCTTAAGTTCAGAATTCTCCAACTTCCTCACCACCTCAAGTAGATGATGCTGAGAATCAATTCTGGCAGCTCTACTATGACTGGAGAGCTTGGAAACTTTGAAATTCAGCAGAACAGTTGCTGAGTTGGGACCAGCAACTGAAGAATGAGAAGATCATCAAAAAATGCTTAGGTCTGCCAGTCAACTATTGCTGTGAGCAAATCCTGGATGTTGACTGGGTATGGAAAAGGAACTATGAAGATTTGCATCTGGAACACTTGGTCACCTCACCAATTTCAGAATTTGAAGTGGATGATGAGGATCCTGCAGTCCACAAACCAGTCCTCTCAAAAACCACAGAAAATCAGGTGGTTCTCACTTCTGAAGCACAAGCTCACTTGGAAACAACAGCTGAGGATTTCCAAATATTTCCGGAAACCTCATCTGTCTTTGAAATTGTTCTACGTGAAGCTACAGTCTCTACTCCACAAAAACAGAACCAGGAAGGATCAAATGAAGAACTCCAGCAACATCTCCATTCTGAAGCTTTAGAGATTCTCACAAATCCTTGTGAGATCACCAATCCTACTGAAACTGAGATCCCAGAGAAGTTAGCAGAAAATTTGGAGATTTTCAAAACTCCAGAAACAAATGAAGCTCAAGAAGAGCAAGCTGTAGAAGCCCAGAGAAGTTCTGCAGAAGCTGAGAAGGAAACTCAAATGGCAGAACTGGAGGTCTCCAAATCTCCAGTAGCCATTTTTGAAGAACAGAATGAAGCTGAAGAAAGAGACTCCCTCTCTAGAGATATATCAAATTTTACACTTGGGGAAGCAGAAGAAGAATCTGAAAGGACTCTGAAGATCAATGATGAAGAAGATGTACAAGATGATGCTGAATCTCTTCCTATGCAACTCTTCCAAAGAACACCCTCTTCTCATCAGGTAACCAACTTCCATTTCCATAGCTCTTCCACTCCTACTCTTCCGGATGATGAGGTACCGGAAATCTGGACAAAGAAGGTCCAAGGGCTGATTGAATCAGCCCTAGGATCTCAACATGCCTCCTTTAGGCAAGAGATAGAGCAGATGGAAGCCAGGCACAACAAACTGATTGAGAAATCCGAAGAGACACACTGCTCCAATCTCAAGGAGATAAGCAAATCAGTGGATAAAACTCTAGAGATCTTATCTCTATTGAGTAACACTGTGAGCAACACGATGGAGACATAAGCATCTGACAGTTATCTTCAACTCAAGGAGGTTAACAAAATCAGAGAGCAAATATCAAATGTCACAGTCAGTCTACAAAAACAAATGTCCATTCTCCAAATGGACATCAGAGCAGCTCTGGCAGTGTCTTCAGCAAATCAAGTAGTAACCAAAGACTACTTGAAGGTAATCATTGACAATCAGAAGGAAGCACACAAACTATTCAGACTTCTTAGCACAAATTCTGGAAATCGCAAGATGGAAGTGGTTCTTCAACAACACAGTCCATCCTTGATTCTAGAGCTCCCCATTGCAGTCAAAGAAGGAGAAGTCTCTTACATTCCTACGCATCTAAACTTGACTGATCTAGTCCTTGAAGCTCAGAGAAGCAATCCGGAAAACTCAACACAGCCCTTATCCAGCTCAGGATTGAATGGAACAGAGGCTATAGGAACAATTGCTGCTCACTTCTCAAATGAAAATCAAACAGAGGAGAGACGCAACAACATAAGGCGCATCAAAGAACTATGTGGAAACATGCAAGGCATCAGGGAGATTGCCGAATCGTCAAAGCGCAAGAAGCACTAAAGGCTTTTTTCATCAAACCAGGGGGAAAAGTATGTGAAAACATTAATTTGCTTTGATGAAAACACCTTCTTGTTTAAACATTGCTTTATTGGTTTAAACACACCTTCTTGTTTAAACATTGCTTTATTGGTTTAAACATTGCCTTAATATTTCTCTTAATTGTGCTTACTATGCTTGATTATACCTAATTCAAGTATGATTTTGAGATTTATTCCTAGCGCATACATTCAGGGGGAACTTAACTAGTTTTTGGCTAACAATTGTTTTTGGCAATGAATTATTGAAGAGCTCTAAGGAATGGAAGACGGATATCTCAGTTTTGGTACAAAAATTGGAAATCTCCGATTCAGGTACTTTACAAAATCTACCTTCTTAAACTAAGCTTCAGTCCTTAATTCATTTCCAACAAGCTCTAAAAGTACTGGTTCTTAGGATTTTTAAAATGTACAGGACTTTGGAAAAATAGTACCACTTTTCTTTTAAAAATAAAATTCATATTTGTTTTGGTACTACCTCGTCCTAAGTAGAAATTAGAACTATAGGGAATGAAAAATGATAGTTCTATTTTGGGCCTTGAGAACCCAATAGGAATAATTTTCCTTTAGTACATAGCTTTCTTTTCTTTTTGGGCCACTCTTTTGGGCTTAGCCAAACTAAAACAGTTATGGTTCTCAAACCAAACGAAACTGATTTTCAAATTGGAACAGTTTCAATTCATTGGTAATTGGTAAAAGATTCCTTCCACTTTTCAACTTCTTGGAAGTTGAAACTCTTTTACTCTCACCATTCCATCTACCCAATTAATGGAACCCGTGAACCTCCCCTCTCTCTACCTCCTCTCTTATTTAAATCAAGATATCTCAATCCATTCCTATCACAAACAGCTCTTTCAATATGAAAAGTCTTCAAACTCACTGTCTAAGAAACACACCAAGAAAAATATCCTCAATGGAGAGATTTTTCTTTCTCACCCTCATAGACGGCAATGGAAGAAGCCTATTGAGAAGAAAAGACTTTCAAGGTCTATGGTGAGAATCTCGGCAGTAGAGAAGATCTGTGGTGAAAATCTCGTATTTTTCAGGATTACACCATACACCTTCTCTGGAACAACACTCTCTCTATCTTTCTTCTTATTTTGAGAGATGTGTTGCTTCCAAGATCTTAAATATCCACATTGGATATTAAAGATCTATCAAACGCAACGCCAACCGCTCTCGCCAAGCAGAATCTGCTGAAGCTGAAAACGGTCAATGGCGGAAGATATCACAAAATCTCAAGACAAGACTTGGTTTAGGAATTATTTTAATTTGAATTGTATTTGTTTAAGAGTTTTTGTTAACAAGCTGTATATTATGAGAAACTAAAAGAAAGTTACAAAATTAGTTCTCAGTACAGCGACCGGAACTCTTAAACACTTGTTTGTCATCATCAAAAAGGGGGAAGTTGTTGGGAAAAAATATTATATATTTTGATGATGATGTATTTAGAATGTAATAGGGACTTTAGGTCTCCCCAAATATTCAATGTACTTTTTCCTTTTAGAAATATTGTTAAAACCAAGTTCTTGGGATTTCCAATAAAGTTGTGGTATTTCTTTAAGCGGTTTGATGCCTGAAGACTTAATCAAATTCAGAAATTTGGAAATTGGATATCTTGATCTGAAATGTCAGAGACAAGTAAGGATCTCTCAAAGCAGACGAAAATCCTCCTATCCGGAAGACTACATGAGAACCGGATGTCTCGTTACAACCCGCTAAAGGCTAAGTCGGAAGACTAGCGCAGATTTCTTTCTCACCTGGAAGACTAGGTATGACTCTTCCGGATTTGTCAGCTAAGAACCAAATGCCTCAAGGAAGACCGGAATTCTCAAAAAGCGGACAAGTGAGAAAAGACTTAGGGGCTGTTTGTTTCAGCCTCTTAATGGTTCAGATGTCTGAATGATTCAGCACTTAATGGTTCAGACTGTTTGTTTCAGCCTCTTAATGGTTCAGATGTCTGAATGGTTAAGAGATTTGCCTCTGAATGGTTAAGTATTATACAGAGTCTGAATGGTTAAGAGCTGTTATCTGAAGTGATCAGACATTTGCCTCTGAATAGTTAAGCAATATACTAGCTCTTAATGGTTCAGACCTCTTACTGGTTCAGCACTTAATGATTCAGACCTCTTAATGGTTCAGCACTTACCCATTCAGAAGTTGCCAAACAGCCCCTTAGAAAATTATCTAAGTCTTGAATGAAGAAATTCTACCCGTTGGTAAGGAAAAATCAATCTCTTGATTTTCAACGGCTAGATTGAAGATAATTATGCTGATTCAAGAACAAATGACTGGAAGATAAAGTCTGGACCTCTAAAAATTGAAGAGCCTGTCCAGAATTCCTAAACAAGCACTAGAAGACAAACAGAGTTAAGTGCTACAGTCCAGAATTCTTGAACAACAGCTAGAAGACGGATTCTGTGGAAAAAGGAATCCCTCCTTAAACAATTGGGTATGTCCAAACACCCATTCCAATGAGGAATCTTCAAATCACAATCTTCATTCAAAATTGAAGCCAGCAAATGCAACGGATAGTCTATTTTGATTCAGCGGATAGATTATCCAATCCTGCAATAAATAGCATCCTTGGAAGACTGGGGAAGAAGAGAACAACTCATCAACGATAAGAAGAACAACCACAAAGAGGCCACCTCATTCACAGTTAGCCCAAAAAGCTTGATAAAGAGAGATTTCTAAACTCCTTATCCAGAAGAAAACTTCTCCTCCTTCGAAAGAGCTATAGTGTAAATACTTGAAGGTTTCCTTGCCTCAAGTACCACACCACGTTGAAGGATACAACTTTTGATCAAACTTCTTGATTGAAAGGGGGTAGGTCAACTTTATTACAAGTTGGTCTTGCAAGTCCTATTTTCGGACCTTGCAGTTATTGAAGAAGCGTGACCTTTGAAGGAACAACAAAGCCAGCACGAGTGCAGTAGCAACATTGGCTTTGCGAAGATATACCGTGCAGAAATTCACACAAGTGTAATTGTTGGTTCATTATTCAACAACCAACTACATAGTGGATTTTGAGGACATAGAAGGATTACCCCACCTTCGAACCTCGTTAAAGTTTGTGTGTCTCTCTCTTTTATCTTTATTCTTACTTGCAATTATATTAACTGTGAAAACTAACCCATCCATATTGATTACTGCTCACTCTACCCACCAACTTCCACACACAATCTAAAGTTCACAAGAACTCTAGATTAACACTCATTTTCACGTTTTCAAAAGAAACGAAAAAGTTTTAAATTTGAAACAAAGTCTATTCACCCCCCCTCTAGACTTTGTATCTCACCACTTCGGGACCACCAGTTACAGATGCAATTCTAAGTCTAATCTCTCAGGATTTGCAAACTCGTCGTAACCAGCTCCAGAACCTGGGAAAGCTTTAGCAAACTCTAGTTTGTCTAAAAGCTCGTCAACAAAGAAAGAAGAAATAAAAAGTTTCCTCTGACTGGAAGCCATGAAGTTCTGTCTCACTGCATCGTTTAAGAATTTGAGAAGGTTATTGAAATAACCGTCAATGTTTAAAAGACTAATGGGTCTATTGTGTAACCCTTCAGAAGCCCACGAGATCAAGGTAAACAAACCTTCCATAGTGTCAACTCCTCCGGGAAGAACAATGAAAGCTTCCACGGCATGATTCATCTCAAAATATTTGTAGTAATTGCTGGAAACTGTGTGCTCTACACCGTACGTAGGTCCATAGACCCGTCGTGTTGCTATGTACCCAGGAATGAAACCTCTAACGAGACCACCATTGGTAAAGACTGTTGAAGCAACAGCTCCTTGAAGGCAGACACTACCTCCTCCATAGGCAAGTTTAATTTTTCGTCTTAACAATTCCCTTCCTAAATCTACCGCCGTAGCCATAAACTTTGGATTTCTACCAAGAGAATGACTGCCAAGTAGACCAACAAATCTTATGGTGTAAGGAAGTGTTTGAGAAGTTCCTTCCATATTGTGAGAATGTGAGATACTCTTTCCATAATCGTGATATATATAGTCTCTAAAACCGGACCATTGATGGAAAAGTAATTATCACCAGCCAAAATACGTACAGTAAAATGGATTCAAATTACCTGCAGACGAGAATGTACTCGCTAATACTATAGTCTGCTGACGATATGACGTATTGAGACTCTTGAACAGTTAGATTCGCTGTCCAAAAACACGTTCAAATCCGAGACGAAAAGTCAAAATGACTATTTCCTAAGACAACGAGCCCTTGAGTAATTGCCAAAGAGTGAAACATTGAAGGATGAAAACCTACGATTAGTAACGATAATTCGCAAATGTTATCTCTGTATTTTGTGACTCATATCCTTGAATTACTCAAAATTGCGGTGTTAAACTACACCCTTGAAAAAAATCCCACTTGATCAACGATTGAATTCCATTGTTGTATCAAAATATTAAACCCTTGGAAACTCGTCTTAATTCATCAAGATACGTTATACCGATCTTTGAAAACTACACTCTGTGAACTACGGTAAAAGCATTCTGATTGGAATATTATGTTGAGTCTCTCTTTGTGAACTACAAAATGGTTGATGCGATTACGTTATCTCTGAAGATTATTATTGATGATCTCATTTGACCAAACAAACTCCGTTATGACCATACTAAGGGAATGTATGTGCAACAATCAGAGAAGAAATGACGTCACAAGGATCAAGCTGAATCATTCAAGCAAAAATTCCAAACCTATATGCGATATTGGTAAGATTCCTTACTTTATAAATTCGTGAATTGAATCACATACTGAAGATATTTTCTTCTTCCCTCGAAACGAGATTAACCAGAGTGCTAAAAACGAACCTGTCATTATCATATCTTGATCGAAGTAAGGAAGTCGAATATGATTAAACAAATACGAAACAAAGCTCGAATGTGAATTGTTACGAAGGCTCATTAACGGTAATGAGAACTATCACGAAGGTGAATGAAGGAATGTTTCAAATACGAGATCGATAATGACTGTACAATGAGTAGTACCTCCTCATAATGTATGATAAATCCCAAATCTTGAAAATCTTGGACCACGAAAAGCCATTTGATGTTACTTACAAATCATTTCTGAACTATATGAATAATGTGAAGATGTCTTGAATGACTTGGATGATTTCGCTAAAACGTATGGATTGAAACAACCTCGGAATCTCCCACTACATCTATTGTGATTCAAAACTACAAATGCTGCTAAGGGACTTTCAATCAAAGAAAGAATGTTGTTGACTAATGACATACAATCGAGATTTGTGAATGAACGAAATGATGTACAAATATGTCAAGTATGCTCCAAAATACGATGTTATACCTTGCAAAGGAACTTAGGTTATGGTTGTTGAATCTGAGCAGGAACCTACGAAATGGATTGTTGGATGCCTTGCCTATTAATCTCTTGAAGAAAGAACGAGTTTGATAACATCGACAGTTTGAGAATACGTATCCGTTTGGATAATGACGTAATTATGGTTTAACCAAATGAACATGACACAGTCATGATAAAGTGAGATCACTACAAAATGTTAAACGTTGACCCTTAGAAGAATTTCGAGGACGAAATTCCTTTAAGGGGGGAGAAATGTAACGCCCCAAAACATACCCTAAAATTTTTAATGAATAAATATTCAATTAGTCAAATTTGTTTCGATTAAAATAAATAGTTATTGGGCTTTGGGC